GCATTTCCAAAAGCAATGCAACAGAGTACTTTTCACTCTATTTTTTTTTACACTTTAGAATAATCGCACAAAACATGAAAATGTTGTCAAATTCCCTCTAAAGATTATTTTAAAATCTGTTAAAAACTACTAGGAACTGTTACACCAATACAGTGCTGTTTCTACTCATTACTTTCCAGAGGTGATTTCTTCATTAACCATTTTAGCAAGGAAAGGAGCTAAAATAATCCGTAATGTGTTACTGCAAAGCTCTACTTTAGTTATCAGAGAGATATGGCTTACTAGAAAGGACACTGCTTGTGCCATGTAGTCTGGTTCTTAAACTTCTTGTTTACTGCTCAACCCTAAATTATAGGCACATTGATAAAGGGGTGGTATTTCAGGTATTCTGGCTTCAAAGCGGTTATATAAAATGTAACTAAGAATTAGACTTGTACTTTTCAGAATAGCATCAGTTATCATTAAAAGCTGCCACATCAGTGACTCTTATGAAGAAACCCGGAGTCAGTTCTTCTGAAAAGCATGGATTAGCTCAATTGTGATAAACTTGTGTGCTGTTTGCTTTCAATGAGACAGAATGATGGTTAACTTCGGCTGAACTGGGGCCTTCAAACTGGATTCTTAGCAGAGATAGATGGAGTCAACCACTGCAGTCAAAAATAGGTTTTATTTTGTTTTATGCAAAATACAATCAAGTACAAAAATGTACACATATAACATTTGCTAGTCAATTTACATTTGTAGAAAGACACAGTGCTTTAAATGATTTTTTTTCTGACTTTTAAGTGATGTAAACATGGAACTGGGTCTGTAAGGTTTCACATGGTGTGTAAAGCAGAATTTTGACAAGAGAAAATTGTGTTTTCCAGCTAAGGGTGAAGTCTGACAAAAGATACCATACATTGCATGATGTGACTGGAAGTTATTGGGTTCAGATTTTCAACTTTACTCAACCTGTATATATGTAAAACACCAAAGGACACAGGCTTAAGATGATCACTAGCCCCTACTTGAACAGATCCTTTGAATCACTGAGATTTATGTAAGTGTTCACTTAGCATTCAGCAACTCAGTCACTAGACCTGCTCTAGATGGGGAAAGCAATTAAGATTTAGACTGCGGTTTCTGGGGGAGATAGAATTCAAGAGCTTTCACTGCAGTCAAAATATATGATGGATTGTTGATGCATAAACATGTCCATATAGAGAGGGTTCAACAGCTAACAGAGCTCACTAAACATGTGCTATCAACACAAGTTGAACATCTATGGAAAAGTAGCTTTAGTACAGTGATGGAATACAATTTGACATCTTAGTTGTCTCTAAAATGTGTTGGGTGCACCCCTCTACACAGGATATTTTCTCACCTCCTGTAGTAGGGCATTTCCAGGCAAGGCCTCTATTGCATAATGACAATGCCCCAGTTGTAGAATTTTGCACGGCACCAGAGGATAACCTCTGAATTTCAGTGCCCCTCTTACGTTTTCCCACTTTGTATTCCACCTTTTTTCATCCTAGAGAGAGAAAAACTTGTGAAGGAAAAAAGACAAGTGATCTGCCCAATGCCTTTTGTATATGAATGGTTGGAGATCACTATTTGGAAGGAACCACTCCTTCTGTTACCAGCACAAAACCCAAGATACTTCAGCAAACTGGTAGCATCCATAAAATAACTATAGCCAGGCTACCAAAGAGTTGGCAAAAAATAAAGTACAGTGGTGCCCCGTATAGCGAGGTTAATCCGTTCCGGATTAACCCTTGCTATACGGAATCATCGCTAAACGGGTAGGGGAAAGGTATTGGAACGCATGAAACTTCGTTTAATGCGTTCCAATACCTTCGTTACTTACCCGTTCAGCGAGGATTCCAGGTGCTGATCCCCCACCCCTGCTGTCTTTGCGGAACCGCCGATCAGCTGTTCGGCGGCTCCAAAATGGCCGCCGCAATACCCGATCTTCGCAATGCGGGTTTTCCCCATTGCGAAGATCGGGTATGTTTCCGTATAGCGATCCCGAAAAAGGGATCGCTATACGGAAACATCGCTATACGGTGCACTCGTTAAGCGAGGCACCACTGTAATTGCCTTTCCCTGTGGATTTTCCCCATCATCTTACAAACCAACCAACCACAGGAAATATGTGCGTGTTGAGAGAAAGCAATTCAGTTTGTGCATTAGGTCCATATATCATGATCTCAATTTCTAAATATGACTAAATCATTTGGACAAAATTAACTGGCATGTGAAGTAGAGGCTACCACAATTTAGTATTGGGTGTGTGATGAAGAAAAGGACAAAAGTGGAAGTTACAACCACTTTGCATCAGTTTTATATTAGTCTATAATTCCTACCATTTTTTTTTTGGAAAGGGCACATTGCATATTTGAAAACTCAGGATGAATGAAAGCAGGTTAGGATGACAAAGCTCCACCTTTTGTTTGGCACTGTCCTTATTTGTGTCAGAGGTTGTTATGCTTTGGGACTACAACTCCCAGAATCCAAATATCAAGCTTGGATTTGGAGCATCCTTGAATACAGGCCACTGTAGGATGGACAGTGTCCCGCCACCCTTCATCCTTACAACATACCCACCACACACAGCCTCTTCTGCTAACCAAGAATGTCAGTATACAGATGGAGAGATAAGGGCAAAAAACCACAACTTTCTGTGTTGCACGGAAAGCTAGGAAAATCCACTTGCAGAGGGAATTGCTGTGCTAAAAGTACTTTTACATACAACAAACATGCATCTAAAACTGTGAGGAAAGCAACCTGTGATTTCTGAAAGGACTTTATGGTTCTTGTACAGGCTCACTGAGCTTGCTGGGTTGTGTTATTCAATCTCCTTCATGTCCAGCCGGGGGGAGAGATGAGATCAGACCCCACCCTCTCCTCTGGGACCATCTGGAGGAAGGATTAAATGTATGTTAAGAGCTTGTTGGTATTCTTCAACTTTAAGAGATTAAACCCTATAAAAGGGAATTTTGTCTTTCAAAGAAAGGGAAGATCCCATTTTCAGGTTAAGTGGGATGTATCTCATTTGACTGCTTCTGTCTCTTAATGCCAAGGAGAAAGCAAGGAGGAGTGTGACAGAATCCGATTTTTGCTTAATAGGCCTAAACCTGATATGCACTTGGACAAAAAGCTGCCTTCTGAAATTGGGGTGAGTTACCCTCTTGTGTCAGACAACATACAAGACAATCTGGCTAAGATGAAGTTGCTAATGCACCCGTTTCCTGCTGTTCTGCGCCCCTGAATACTTGCCTTTTGGTAATGAGAAAGCTATTCATGAGATAAAGATCTGCACACAATGTACAGAAATTAAATCCGGAAGCCTGACGAAAACATTTGGTGAAAACATGCTCATTGTTCCACATTTATTTTAATGTTTTTTTTTAAAGAAGTTAATGATTTGACTGTTCATATATAAAACCTGTGAATAAACTACAGGTTTTTTCTTTTCAAAAAAGTTATCTAGGAATCATTTATAACTGCAAGTGGTTCATTAATTATGATTCTTATTTTGCTTTATAATAAACATGTCAACCTCATTTATTTATATTAGCATTTTGAAATATATAAACATGCATTCAACTGGGAAATTAAGAGAAGCATACATCCAACATGGCTCTCATTCATAATTGCAGCACTCAGTGAGTGTCACTGGGGATAACTTTCCCCCCCACACAAATTATCTTAATTCAGTCTCTAAAAATAAGCTATATCACACTTATTTAAGAAAAAATTAAAATCCTGCAAGCAGCAATTTTAGTAAGGATAGCCATGTTAAAAATGATGACCCAAGTTCCAGTGAACTATTTAATTCCAATAACTTTGTCTACCTGAGACAAAATACCACTAAATTCCATGAGACTTACTTCTGAATCAACATGTACAGGACTGCAAATGGAGGCGCATTAAGCCCCTTTTCCCTAGGCTCATTGAATTAGTTTCACAGTTCTCTGGAACCTGGCCCACATTTTTGTACATCAATTTTTATCAGAAAATCTAAGTAATTGCTGTTCAGTTTGGACAAGCATTCGTTTAATAGAATTTGTATACTTTGTAACCAAGTTTTTAAATTCAGCTATTTTCGCAGATAGCAGGGAGGCAGCGCTTTGAACTTCAATCAGATATAATTCGCATATAATAAACACATATTTAAAACTTTCTAGCATCAATGCTTGGAAAGGCTTCTGCTAATTATGATATTCTTTCCTATTCACTGATTGTTTCTCAAAATGAATCTTAAAGCTGAGTTTCAGACATACTTCTCCGCTCTAAAAGAATGGCGTAAAAACCAAGAATCAAGTAGACAAAATATTTTTTTCTTTTTTAAAGGACAGTTTTGGTTACATTTTCTATTTGTTTTGAATTTGTAAAAAAATAGAAAATTCTCTCTCTAAAGTGCATCATTGTACCTACAATTTTACACAAGCTATTTGAAAGTACAGCAATAACACAGCCACATAAATGGCTGAAGCTTAACATGAACAAAAAAGGCTACAATCTCATTGTCATATGAGATGGATCTGCCAGATTTTAAGGGGTGACCAGATACTGTAAGGGACTGGCACAACCTGATATTGCCATTAAAAATAAAACAAAACAAAAAAATTCTATCGCCACTATGAGATTTTCACTCTCAATAGCACTCAGACCTTTCAGGTCAGTTCTTATGCCAGAAACACCTACCATGGATTGCTGTATGTTCTAGAAGGTTCTGGAAAATGTGATGGGGGACCAGCCTAGTGCTTCTCGCTAACATGCCCAAGAACCAAGGGAACACTCTAGAGTATACCACTATTACACAAGAAAAATGGTAAGTATATGCCATCTTCCAGGAAAACTTGTCCGCCATTCTTCATCTTCATTACTGTGGAACTCTATTACTTCTTAAATGTTAGAGCAGTACAACGATGGAACCAATTACCTCAGAAGGTCGTGAGCACTCCAATGTTGGAGGCACTCGAAAGAAAATTGGACAACCATCGGTCAGATCTGCTTTGACTTGGATTCCTGAACTGAGCAGGGGGTTGGACTTGATGGCCTTATTGGCCTCTTCCAACTCAATTATTATATGATATCTCTGAGAAAGTACAGATGCCTCAAAACACAGTCTGAAGACCACAGTCCAATCAGAGCCCCCTGCAGCAAGAGCCCTCCAAAGTCGACCAAGGCTGGAATCATACACTTCTCAAGTGGGATCCATTTACTCAACTTTTCTTCTTTCTGAACAAATGGAAGTGGCAGTTGTGAAATAACTTCTTTTTTTTCTGAAGAGGGGGAGGAACCCCGTGAATAATAAATTGCACTTTCTAAAAAAGTCCTACTGAATACCAAGGTCATAACATGCTCCTTTGTCCAAGGGATGGTACCTCAGCATTCACTTGGGGCCAAACATACCAAGAAACCCAAACATCAAAAACCGCAAGAATCATCTCAGAATGCAAAGCCCTCCCCTTAAAGCGTAGACCTAGGTGCTTTATTCGTCTGATGAGTGCAGAAAATTATCTGGTGATTCATGGTAACTCAAACTCGTTCACCTCTTTCGCACTGGGTGCTCCAGAGAAGGTATAAATCATACTCTGTTAGCTGAAGCATTTCACAAGCCACAGGCTGATCAAAGCAAAAGGTGCCTCTCTGGGCACCAGTTCTTCTAAGAGCATCATAATCCCTGCTCCCATCCTTGGGCTGGTTTGGATGAGCAGCTTAGAGACAAAACAGGCTACAAGTCTGAAGGAAGGCGGAGGATCCCTCCCCCCTTCTCCCTGTCTTTTGTTAGCCACAGTCCATGGAGAGCTGCTGAAAAAAGGCCCTCGTGGTATAAGGCTCTTGCCGAGTTAGTTCTTCAAGCAATCATTCCTTTGGCTTGGTCAACTCTTTAACTCTATTGGCAAAGGTCAGGTGTGCCTTCATTACACGGTTTTAGGACTAATATCTCTTTTGCTGATTAAGACTTCCAGCAGCCTCAGCTTTGCCTTAATCTGCTTGTATTCATTATATTCTTCAGCCATAGGAGCACGGTCTTCTTTCTGGACATTTCTGAAAGAAAGACAGAGCAATGCATCTTCCACTGAAATAACATTTCCCTAAATGTTGTTAGGTAGAAGGCACGAGGAAAAGAGGAAGACCAAATACGGCACAGACTGACTCCCTAAAGCAAACCACAGGCTAGAAGACCAAATACGACACAGATTGACTCCCTAAAGCAAACCACAGGGTTGAGTTTACAAGAGATAAGCAGAGCAGTTGAGTATAGCAGTGGTCCCCAACCTTGGGCCTCCAGATGTTCTTGGACTTCATCTCCCAGAAATCCTGGCCAGCAGAGGTGGTGGTGAAGTCTTCTGGGAGTTGTAGTCCAAGAACATCTGGAGGCCCAAGGTTAAGGAACACTGGAGTATAGGACATTCTGGAGTTCGGTCATTCATCAGGTTGGCACAACTTGATGGCATATAACAACTGCTGTTGATGGCTGAGTGAATGCTTTACATTCACACTTTTTAATATCCTGCTAAGTAAGATGAAATCTGTGGGGCCTTCTTTGAAACACTAACAGCAAAAAACCCCACACCATATGATGGGAAGAAGATAGTTATGTGTCACCAAGCTGGAACAGCTTATATTGACTCTAATAGGTAAAGAACTTTACTAACCCAACCAACATTAGGAAAACTTGAATATGTGGGGAAAAGCTAACTTTTGAAAGGGGTCAATTGTGCCTGTTTGGCTTCACAAAAACAGAAACTTCCGGGTTGGCATTCTTGGGTAGGGGGAAAAATTCCAATTAAATGTTTGAAATGCCTGGAACTGCAAAGGATGAAGAGAAAATTGAACCTTGAAATGCTAAGGTGGGCTGGGAAGGAGAGTAAAGGGTTGAATAAGCAGATGTTACCAAGGATTACAAATAAGGACACAAAGCAATGTTATCTCCTGACAAAGGGAAGAGACGTGGGTTAAAAAAGTGAGGGGATAAAGGTTTTTGGGGGAAAGGGTAGAAATTATTACCTTCCATTTTGTCGGAAAAAGTTATCCTCAAAATCTCTCAGTTTCTTTCTGATCCTCTTTTTCTCTTCCCTGACTTCCTGCAGCTGCTCTACAAGTTCTGGCCTACAGTATTTGATAAAAAACAAGCAGACATCCAACTTTTGAAAACTGACGAAAATTACCACAGAAAGCCCAGCTTCCATTTTAACAAAAGCATGGATACATAAAAGCAAATATCATTCATACATATATGTTATAATCTAATTATTGTAACATTCAATACAGTAAATGTTGTAATAATATACAATATAGTGGCCAGAATCCTCTTAATTTTTTATGCTGGAACAACTGATTGTTGCTAGCTAACAAGTTGAATTTTATGTTGTTGTGTGGTAAGAAATTCAAGGGGTAACTTGTTAACTAGCAGCAAAAATCCCCAACAAACAGCTCAATGGTTTAGGCATCTTGTTGTGGAGCCAGAGTTTGGGAGTTTAATTCCCGTGCCTGCTTGACAAGAGCTGGAATTGATGATCCATAGGGTCCCTTCCAGCCGTGCAGTTCTAAGATAAGATATTATTATGAGTCACACAACCACACCAGGTCACACATCTATATTCTTATTTTTATTAACAGTCAATCAAAATTATTTTTAAAACGACTGATATTACATAACAGATACAGGTTTTAAACAAAAACTTAAGTACTTGTTAAAAATCAACACAGTATATATACTGTAATGATGATGATGATGATGCCAGAGTTGAAAATAAAGAATTGGAAAAACTAAAAAGTACAGAGACCTGGCAATCAAAACCATCTTGCTTGCAAATAGTGGCCCCTGCAGCCATTGGGCTTTGGGAACATTATCAAGAAATTTCATACAGTATTATAAGCAGTTGCAGTTCTCAGAAATAACAGCATCAGAGCTACAAAAAACAGCAGTATTAGGAATAGCATACATACTGTGCTAATATTTAACACATAGGATTTCGGTCAAAACTTGTATGTGTTATGTAATACCAGTCAATGCTCTTATAATTTTGATTGACTGTGTCTGGTATTTTGGAATAATAATAATACAGTAATACTAATATCTATTTCTCTATATCCTACATTGTATTATACTATTATCAGACTATCCTATTTACAGTATTAGTAGAGCATATATTCCTTCCCTCAAATTTATTTATTATCTTTGCACAAACGTAATAGTATACAAATCACAAAGCAGACAGCCAAAAAAACTTGTCATACATAGAGGCAGCATGAAGATTTGATAGTCCCATATCCTGACTGCCTCTTGAAGTAATCCTGTCATCCACTGGAGAAACAAAGCCATCAACATCATCTTCCAGCTGGTCCAAGAAACTTTTCACATTGAAGTCAGATTTGATGGTGATTGTGAAGTCTAGTTTCGTGCTGGTATCTTCCTCAGAACCATCCTCTTCTTCCTGTGGAGACATTTTGACAGAATCCATTTTTACACAATGCAAAACATTTTTTTTAGCTGGCACTAAAGTAACCAAGACATGCAGGCGCAAGGTAGCCACAGGCTTGAGTTTACAAAAGCTGAGGAGCAGGGCAATTGAATACCAGGACATTTTGGAGAGCAGTCATTCGTAGGTTCACCATAATTGGAGGCTACTTGACAGCATATAATAGGGACGTGGTGGCGCTGTGGACTAAACCGCAGAAGCCTGTGCTGCAGGGTCAGAAGACCAAGCAGTCATAAGATCGAATCCACGCGACGGAGGGAGCTCCCGTTGCTTTGTCCCAGGTCCCGCCAACCTAGCGGTTCGAAAGCATGCAAATGCAAGTAGATCAATAGGGACCACCTCGGTGGGAAGGTAACAGCGCTCCGTGTTTAAGTCGCACTGGCCATGTGACCACGGAAGATTGTCTTCGGACAAAAACACTGGCTCTATGGCTTGGAAACGGGGATGAGCACCGCCCCCTAGGGTCGAACACGACTGGACAAAAATTGTCAAGGGGAACCTTTACCTTTACCTTTTGACAGCATATAACAACAGCAGCAGCAACAACAGGTGCAAAGCAAACAAATGACAAAGCAAATGATAGGTTTGCAACAACAGAGTCCTGTGGCGGCTTAGAGATGAAAAATGTATCACTGCATGACCCTTGAGGATTACATAGGTCAAAATCATTAACTGCATACAATTGTGCCAGAAAAAACTATGATCCAAAGTGACAGTGACTAGAACTCTGGAAATATCAAATCCAGGCCTGCACCGGGTGCGAAAACGTTCCACAATAGCAAACAATGTTGTTTGGCTTCTTCAGTTGGATTTATTGTTTGGCTACAAAGGTATAAAACAAGTACTGAGCATGTGTACGCATGTCTGCATGCGCAAGCACACACACAAGGAATGCATGAAAAGGTTCAATTTTCACCCACACAAGGCTACACAAGCATATATCCAGCCCTAGGTCCCAAGTATCAACTGAGTAAATTCGGACAGATGCAAGCAGTAGTCATAGTTGCAGAACAACAAGATGACAATAAAAGAAGCAAATAAGAGGCGATCTGTTTTGCCAATCAAAAGGTGCCACCTATATGGGAACCAAAAATGAAGACAAGGCGCAGCTAGGTAGATAGTGAAGTTGAAGTTGCAACAGAGGCAGGAGGTGGACAAAGACAAAAGCAGACAAAAACAATTAATGATCTTGCTTCCTAGAAAGAAGACGAATGAATCAGCAATTAAGAACCATAATGCTGATCACTTCAGCTAAAAGAGAAATGATACAAGCTGAACAAATCAATTAGTGGCAAGAGGCTGTTTGGCTGTTTTCACCTTTATCTCCTTGAAGAAGGAAGCCGTTTCACCCTCGATAATTGGCTGCAGTAAAGGGCTTCTCCGCTTGCTGGAGGGGGAACCCTATGACAGACGGCAAGAAGGGAGTTATATGATGACTTTTTCTATCCACCCACCCAGTTCCACTCTTCTTCTCTTCTCAAATCCTTCCTCACTCATTTCCAAATCAAGTCCAAAATTCTTCCTCACAATCCATTTACAAAAAAAACACAGCAGGTTCACAAAATAAACCTCTCAAATCAAGCAAGATAAATGGGGGCTTTCTTATACCAACATGTCAGTAAATGTTATGAATAACATAGAGATTTGGGATAAGAAGAAGATGGTTGAGGTTTGGACATTTAGATCACAGATTGTGTGAAACTTTTATTATGTACTGATTCCAGCAATATGGTACAGTGGGGTCTTGACTTAAGAACGGCTTGAGTTAAGAACATTTTGACTTAAGAACCGCTCTCATAGGAAAATATTGACTTGACTTAAGTACTTAGATTTGAGTTAAGAACTGAAAAAAACCCACGTGGGAGCCAGGTTTATTATATACTGATTCCAGCAATATGGTATTCCATTTGCATTGATGTACCTACTCCCAAGCCCTAAAAGTAATGGACTCAACAGTGTATGTGTGCTATTGGGCAGCACTCCATCATTTCAGCCAGCTTTGAAGGAGAGGAATCTCCTGATGGATCATGTTCTTAGTCCTAGGCCCCAGAAGAAAACGGTGCTTGCTAAGGTATAAGCAACAACTCATGCACCATCCTATCCACTCATTTCAACAGAATCCTTATTCAAAACACACATTCAGGGGCCAAGACACAGACTTGGTCTGGCAGCAATGAAGGCATGAAAGAAACACTCATTCATGAAATAAAAGAACGGGCTGAATGTACAGGGAAATAGCTCATGTTTACACTGGCTATGACAAAAATTACCTGAAACACTGGTGTAAGTGTACCACAAAACAGTCAAGAATAGGAACAGGGCAATAGGGCAGACTGGTACACACTCCCCCTCTTGCCAATAAAGAAATAATGTAGCTAGTCCTTGTGGTGTCTTATTGTCATGGTATTTCTTAGCAATGAGACATCAGATAGGCCCTGCAGTTCATCAGCTGGGGAAGGTAGCAACCTTTTTTTTTTTAAATTAGAGGCCCCTCACACACACATGGCTTTCCCACAAAAAAAACCCAGGTTTCTTTATTTGTAACTCTTCATTTCCAGCTGAAAGGAAAACATGGAACACACAATTTCACATTCTGCCAATAACTGTCATTGTTGAGGAACTGACAGGATGTGAAATTATGTGTTCCGTGTTTCTTCAGCTGCAAACAAAGAGTTGAAAATGGAGGGTTGTAAATAGCTGTTGCTGTAACCATCAATGCCCAAACATCCAAAATGTGAACAGTATGTTAATTCTCTTTCCTTAGCTGCAGAATTTAGAGTTTCTGCTTACAGATATTTTGTTTTACAGAAGCTGGGGGCAGAAGGGACTGGATTCTGCACAAACAGGACCACTCTCTCTCTCTTTCTGGTAGACCAAATCTGTCTGAGGGAAAGAATTATAGCTGTTATTATATCTGTTGTCCTTTCTGCTCTCGGGGTCAGAGACAGGAAGCCCGCTGGCTTGCTCCCATCAGCCAAGGAGTCTCAAGGACAGTTTCCGTGGCAGGGTGCAGGTTTTGCTGGAAGCAACACAAGCCAAGGAATAGAAACATTCTTGGCTCAGCAGCCACTGCAAGCAGCAGTCCAGAGTGCCAACAGAAACTCAAGGAGAACAGGGGTGCAAGTGTACGCAAGGTGACTGTTCTGCTCTACTCTTTAGAGACAATATATTCTCAGAACTTGAACGCACTACTCTTTTGGGGGAATTACATTCTCAGAAATCCCTCAGCCAAAATGACAAGTGGCCACCAAAGTCGGGGGGATCTCTGGGAGTTATAACCCAAAACATAACCCTTCCAAATATCATAGTCTAGATGGTATTATTTTGTACAAAGAGTTCATGCTCAATCCATGACTCTCCCCAATCAGCTCATGCTCATCATCGTATCAAATTGCCAAGGAGGTATATGTACCTCTGGGATGAATTCACATTGCTTTCTGCCAGATGCAGGGGAGGGGTGTCAGGAGACAGGTATCTCGTGGTCTCGTGTGCTCCCAGAGGCATCTGGTGGGGCCACTGTGAGATACAGGAAGCTGCAACTAGAGGGGCCCTTGGCCTGATCCAGCAGGGCTCTTCTTATATTCTTGTGCCCCACTACTCATGCAAGGCAGTAGAAAACCACAAGTGGGGGTCGTTAAGTCCTGAGGAAATTGTGGTTTAGGCAGGCAGTGTGTGTCATTCTGAAATGGAGGGGTGAGGTGTCTCCCATTCAGATCAGAGTCCTCAAACTCTAAACTCCATGTAAACCATAACATGTTACCCATTATCCTCTTGTGTGTCTAATTTGGCACACCAAAAAAGTACCCTGCACCATGGGGCCTGCCTTCTATTCTTCCCATTGCTTCATCACGGTACACACATGCCCATCTAGGTTTTACTACATGGAGGAAAATATTTTAGACTGAGGCAAGGGGGACAATGCAGCACAGAGAGAGAAGAAGCTCCCTGCCACCCTGGTCAAACGAGATACCCAGACAAGTTGCAGACTTACGATAATAGGGATGGTGTTGGCCCGAGAGAGGATCTGCTTGACCAAGCGGTATCTGTCATAGAGGGGCTTCATCATCTGCCGTTCATGTTTTGTTACCTGAACAGAAGGAAAACATGGTCAGTGGAAGGAGTGTGGTGGCAACAGGTCTGCAGGTAGCAACTAAGCTTTTCTATCATATATCATCCCATTACCTTCTGCTGCATCAGTTGTGAGAAGGAATGACCTGATCGAACAGGTTTTGAAAATAGATTTTAAAATGAGCAATGTCCCTCCATGTCCATGTATGAAGGCGGTTCACCTAGGGACATGAATGTTGGCATTATAGGCAGGGAGCTTAAATGGGTACCATATATCGGGGAATATACTGGTCCTTAGAGCTCCTAGATGCCCATCTCCCCATACCAACTCAGTTTGCTCCCTTAACCTACTAATTTCTCATTCTCAGAAGGGCTGGAGATTAGTAATTGCCATCTGAGGAATGTATACTTTTTGTGACACCAGTCAAAGTCAGGGGACTTGACTGTCAATGACATTCCGTAAGAGAACTGAAAGCAGAATTTTACGTTCTGTATCACCCAGCTGCATTAATGTCTTATTAACAGATTTCTAGACCAGTATGTTTATATGTTGGTTTGGGATGGTTATAAAGGGCTTGGAGCCAGGTCATCATCTGAGAAACTCTCTCAGGTGTCTCCACCAAACAAGTTGAGGCAGGTGACAATAAATGAGGCAGGTGAATGAATGAATGAATGAATTTTCAGTGGAGGCATCATATCTTGGAAAAGCCGTTCTGAGAGAGACTATCCTAATACCTAGTTAGAGTCTTTGGGACAACACATAACTTCTTTTAATTTTCCCATGCACTTTAAGAATTTTGATCAAGCACTCTCCTCTTCTGCTGCTGCTTCAACTTTTATCGTGCTTGCATATATGCTGCAGTGTTTTTATTTTTTGCTGCTGATTTTATCTTTTTTTTATGATCTGCTGCTTATGGTTTACTGGCCTGATGTTTGTATTTTTTTAATGCAGTTCAAAGATAACTTTCACCAACATGGAACAGAAATGCCTTCCTATCTCTCAGCGGTTCAAGTTCAAGGTCCATGGCTGGCTCCATTTTGTCTAAAAGGCTGCCCTGGTTATCTTTGTTGTGTTTATCGACAATTAACAGACAGGTTTATTGTCTGGCAGGCAAAGTGTCACATGTTACAAAGAATAAATTATGAAAGTCACAAGCTGTTACAGAAAGTTCACTTTGGGAATCAATGTCTTTTGCACTGTTCTGTATTAGCAAAAGGATGTCAATGGTACAACCAAGAAATCAGAGCCAACCTGAACTATTTGTTTTGGAATTGCTTTCTTCCCATTGCTACTGTAGAACTCCTTAAAATTATAATGGCAGGGTTGACAGTAATAATCATGTTGAGAATGTGAAACACGATTGCTATAGCAGAAAAAAACCCCCAGAACAATTGTAATGCTTAAACAATAGACAGAATAGTATATATTTCAGGCACAACAAAAATAGGAACAAAATCTGCAACAACAAAAAATGTCATCTGAACAATGAATGGAGGAAAACAATACTAACTGTTGTTTTCAAAATAACCAGATAGGGCTCTGTTCATCACTCCAAATTGTGCTCCTTACATTTCAATTCACCAACAGTTTTGGAATGATCAATGTAGAGAAAATACAGAATGGTCATGAGCAGCACAGTTAGTTGCCAAAGATTACAGAACACTTTGTGGGTGTATAATCTGCACCCATTCAAAAGCAGATGGTGTGAAATGGTCCTCATGATGGCAATTTGGATCAACAGCTTGTTCTGATGAATACTGAAAAACTGGCAAATAATATGAGGCTAGCAACAGGAGGCCCATAATATGGCACACAATATGATGCCAAGCACATGAGGAGAACAATAGAAAGCCGGGAATTCATGCTGAAAATTAAGTCTAGGCTCTTTCCTCCAGGCGTTTCCCACATTAGTATTGGTGGGTCTTTTAAAAATGGTGGAACGACAACAGTCCAATTACAACATCCAGTTGTGAGAGAAAAAGGCTGTCCTGAACTAGGGAATCTGATGGCTTCTCAAGGATCAGATTGGCTTTTCAGCTTTTTGACCATTTTGTTTTCATACTTAAAGTTTAAAATTTCACATCTTTATTTCAAGCCTTGTTTATGCACATTTTTTAAAAAAACCAACAGCAAAATGTTTGCAGGGCTATTGAGTTTGGACCAAAAACCAGCGTTCTTGGTGGTTGCTCCTCACTTCTGTAATACACTCCCATTTTAAAGAGGTCTCTGAAAACATGGCTGTTTAGACATGCATTCCTGGATACTACATCAACAGAGCACAGTGGTTCTTTCAGCGTTTAAGTTATCTATTCTGCCACTTTGCTTTTAATGTTTTAATGTTGTTCCCTTCTTAATTTAATTTGACTGATACGTTTAATTTGATTTTCTGTATTGTTATGTTTTGTGGGTTTATTGAAAGTGTTATTTGTTATTTTATTTGTTTGTGAACGGCCCTTGATGGTCAGATGGGCAGCATAGAAATTGAATGAATGAATGAATGAATGAATGAATGAATGAATGAATGAATGAATGAATGAATAAATAAATAAATAAGACATTTAAATATTTGTGTAAGAAGCACAAATTTCATTTTAACTGCTGAATAGGTAAGGTGATTATTCATCACAGAAACTGAATGAAATTGGGAAGTAAAGTCTACGGTTGTAGTCTTTTCCAGGGAGTCTTCTCTTCTCATGAGATGGTCAAAGTACTGGAGCCTCAGCTTCAGGATCTGTCCTTCCAGTGAGCACTCAGGGTTGATTTCCTTCAAAATGGATAGGTTTGATCTCCTTGCAGTCCGGGGGACTCTCAAGAGTCTCCCCAAGTAAAAAAAGTACATGTTAACTAAATAGCAAAACTCCCCCAAATTTAACACTTGGTCATAGGTGTGAAGCTATAATATCAGCTGTATTATCAATACGAACGCTGCTATACTTACTGGTCTTCCATGGATGCTCTCATAAGACAAGAGAGCTTTCTGAAGAGCCACCTTCTCTGCTGCTATCTGGTCTTTAGTCATGTCCTGCATCAAGCAACCAAGGAAAAGAGGAAGGAGGGGAGAGCAAAGAGAGAGAATGAGAACTTACAGCATAACCTGGAAAACTTCAATTTCTAGTAATATGTGCCTGTCCCATCCCAGTGCCTTAGGATGGAACCGATACCCCAAGACTCCCATTTACAACAAATATTTTGCACCTGAAGGAGCTCCTGTGGACAAGAAGAATTGGAAGAAAGGAGCATTAAAGGGAAGGCTGATACAAAATTTGCAACAACAGAAGCAAAATACCTCACCAGAGTGTGAAAAGGTTATTTTATTTGGATTAATGCTTCCAGAATCGCCCAGCTAGCATGGCTAGAGGATCCTGGGTATTGTAGTTCCAAAACACAGCTTTTCCACACTTTCTGTGGCTTCAGACACAAGAGTAGTTCCAGATCGTAGTAAGAATGCAGCAAAACAAAGGTAATTTTCATTCCAAAGTAGATTTGCCAAATATCTCCCTATCGACTTTGAAAGAAGAGCTGATAATGCTTTAAGCAACTGCACTAAAGTTATCAATGTTATTTGTACATATTAAAATTTCATTAACTGGTGTGCAAATCCCCACCAGGTGTTTATCAGTGCTTTCATTATAGTTTGACAGATGCCAACCATTAGGCTGAAAGTGAATGATTCTACATATTGAATCAATTGTTTCACTCTGGGTTTTATTCATTAAGATCATGCAAAGATCTGGATATTCTTTAATGATCTGATGGCATACATCAGCCTATTTATAGTCACACCTGTTCAACGTATGCATGAATTCCAGAATTCTTGATTTATCGTAACAATTTTCATTTTGCTTGATGATGGAAACCACTCCATCTTTTCAATTATACCTTAATATCCTCGGGTCGGTTTGCCTCAGTCCTTTTCTCCTGCAGCTTTTTCTGGATGGATTCCAGAGTTGCCTCCACAGCTGGTTTTGTTGACTTATCAGACAGCTCTTGCTTCTTGTCTTCCTCCTTCTCCAGCTGAGAGCCAAAACTTTTGGGGAGTGTATTGCTACGCTGACGCATGACAGGAGCCAGGTCTTCCTCTGACATCTTCAGTTTTGATTCTGGTTTTGGAAGAGAAAAAGAGAGTGGATTTCCAGGAAGGGGCTTAAAAAGAAAAGAAAAACCAAGGGAAGCACGGCAGAGCAATGTCGATAAATCTTGGGTGAGGACCTCAGGACTCCTACCTTTCAGCTGCTTTCGAAATTTCGCAAGGTCATTTGTCCACTTCAGTACCTCCAAGTTAGCTGCTTTGTCACTGTGTGAGGGCTGCAAGAGGGCAGAAACAGAGAGGGTGTCATTTTGTGCTAATGGAGGCATCAGAAATGGAAACAGAGAATTGCATAGGATACTTTTACTTGTTTCTGTGCAAACTGCGTAACAGCCAGGAACCTTGTTTGCCTGTAATACAATGTGTGTTTTGCAGGACTGCTGTTGCACCCCTGACTTGCACGTCCCCTTTCTACACTTTTAGCATCCAACACGCTCTGAATAGCACTCAGAATAAATTACATTCTAAAATTAAGGCCATGTCATTATTAGAATTCCATCCAAAGTGTGTGTGTGTCATTTTGTGCTAATGGAGACATCAGAAATGAAAGCAGAGGATTGCATAGTGGTGCCTCGCTAGACGATGATAATCCGTTCCACTGAAATCGCTGTTTAGCGAAATCATTGTCTAGCGAAAAGCATTTCCCCATTGGAATGCATTGAAACCTGTTTAATGCGTTCCAATGGGGAAGAATTATCATTGTCTAGTGAAGATCGGCCATAGGAAAGCCGCTTTGCGAACCACCGATCAGCTGTTTAAATCGCTGTCTTGTGAAGCTTAGGTCCCGAAAACACCTGTTTTGCAAGCACAGAGGGAGCTGTCAAAATCATCGTCTAACAAAAATCGGTTTGCGAAGCAGGGACCAAACATTGTCCAGCGAAGTTTCCCCGTAGGAATCACTGTTTTGTGAATCACTATAGCGATCGCAAAAAGTCAATGTCTAGCGAAAAAACTGTCATGCGGGGTAACTGTCTAGTGAGGCACCACTGTACGTGTTTCAGTGCAAATTGAGTAACAGCCAGAACCTTGTTTGCCTGTAATACGTATGTTTTGCAGGACTGTTGTGGCACCCCTGACTTGCACGTCCCCTTTCTACACTTTTAGCATCCAACACGCTCTGAATAGCACTCAGAATAAATTACATTCTAAAATTAAGGCCATGTCATTATTAGAATTCCATCCAAAAAAGTATAAATACCTTAATTTGCAAATGTCACAGATTCTTCAAAGGCCCCAAAACATTAGAAAGGCCAGGGTATAAAATTGAAATATATGTAGTTGGATATACAGATCTACCATTTGCTTTATATAAAACTACTGTTTTGTGAATCACTATAGCGATCGCAAAAAGTCAATGTCTAGCGAAAAAACTGTCATGCGGGGTAACTGTCTAGTGAGGCACCACTGTACGTGTTTCAGTGCAAATTGAGTAACAGCCAGAACCTTGTTTGCCTGTAATACGTATGTTTTGCAGGACTGTTGTGGCACCCCTGACTTGCACGTCCCCTTTTTACACTTTTAGTATCCAATACGCTCTGAACAGAACTCAGAATAAATTACATTCTAAAATTAGGGCCATGTCATTATTAGAATTCCATCCAAAAAGTATAAATACCTTAATCTGCAAATGTCACAGATTCTTCACAGGCCCCAAGACATGAGAAAGGCCAGGGTATAAAAGTGAAATATATGTAGTTGGATACACAGATCTACCATTTGCTTTATATAAAACTGTGATGTTTCTGAATAACTGCATATGGACTGAAAGTGTGATCTATGCACATTTTACTCAGATATTCATCACATGATCTGTGCCCAGTGGATTGCAGTCTAAGAATGAAAGGTCTTAAAGGACTATCAACCATTTCCTCTGTGGGCATTGGGCTTCAATGACATAAGACTGCACCCTGGGAATGAAAGACCACAGAAGATTGTCAGCCTTTCATGTTGAACACAACCAGCTTGAGAACTTTGCCACTTTGCAGGACAACCCGTGAAAATATTCAGGCAGATAACACTTCTCATCATGGCAAGAGGGGGGCATAGATTCAAATACCGACAGCTTTGGATGCCGGAGAAACAAAGGTTTCCAGCGACTCACCCGATATTTCCTCTCCTCTTCAAATTTTTCTTCAAACTTCCTGATCTTTTTCTTCAACCCTTGGATCCTACGGGTCAGCTGCGCTGGCGTCAAATCTTCCCTGTCATCTTCGTAAGATCCCAATGAAGAACTTCTTCTCCTGTAATGAAGGTGACGGATAGCCCTTGTTGCAGGATTAATTGGTGTAAGTCAGGGTGGGACAAAGTACAGCCATAGGCCCCCAACTCTCCTATGCCCCCTTTTTTGGCAAAAAAGGGGACTTAAGTTCCTGGAAACTTACACAAGTAGCAATTCAACTTTTCAATAGGTCACAGCCCCTCCTGCACTGTTTACTATCTGAAATGCAATTTTTTAAGCTGGAAGTAGACTTCTGACCACTTCCAATTCCATGGTTTGCTCTTTCTTTTGTTTTTTGGTTGACATTTTGGTCAACCCCTGGAGGTTTCTGGAGACACAAAAGTGGTCCTTGGAACAACCAACGTTACCCATCTTGATATTTGCATACTAACATGAGAAAGCAATCTTCCTGACACAAACACATATGTTTTGACATAGAGGGATGGAAAATCACTTTATAACAGGTCAGGTGTATGTCTACCTTGCCCAGCAATGTTTATTTTGACTGACAGTAGGTCTTTGGCAGAGGTCTTTCTCACCATCTGACACCTGATCTCACTTTTTGTTGTTGTTGTTTAGTCGTTAAGTCGTGTCCGACTCTTTGGACGAGAGAACAACAGACCCTCCTGTCTTCCACTGCCTCCCGGAATTGGGTCAAATTCATGTTGGGAGCTTTGGTGACACTGCCCAACCATCTCATCCTCTGTCGTCCCCTTCTTCTCTTGCCTTCAACTTTCCCTACATCAGGGTCTTTTCCAGGGAGTCTTCTCATGCGATGGCTAAAGTATTGGAGCTTCAGCTTCAGGATCTGTCATCCCAGTGAGCACTCAGAGTTGATTTCCTTCAGAACAGATAAATGTGATCTCCTTGCAGTCCAGAGGACTCTCAAGAGTCTCCTTCAGCACCACTATTCAAAAGCATCAATTCTTCGGTGGTTAGCCTTCTTTATGGTCCAGCTCTCACTTCCATAAATCGCTACTGGAAAAACCATAGCTTTGACTATGCTGACCTTTGTTTACAAGGTAATGTCTCTGCTTTTTTAGATGCTATCTAGGTTTCTCATTGCTATCCTCCTTAAGAAGCAGGCGTCTTTTAATTTCATGGCTGCTGATCTCCAGTGATCAGGGAGCCCAAGAAGGTTAACCAAGAAGGTTAACTCTGCCACTGCCTCCATATCTTCCCTTTCTATTTTCAAGGAGGTGATGGGACCAGTGGCCATGATCCTAGTTTTCTTTTAGGTTTCCTCCTCGACTATTTTTTTGTGCTTTTCACCCTCATTAAGAGGTTCTTTAATTCCTCCTCACTTTCTGCCATCACTGGAGGTAAATCTGATAATATTAATTATAATAATTATGTTAGTTATTTTTCTACATTGTTTTAATGTGTTTTAATGTTTGTAAGCCGCCCCGAGTAGACGTTGTCTAGAGGGGCGGGGTAGAAATTGAATAAATAAATAAATAAATAAATAAATAAACCTGACAAGTTCTCAATGTAGAAATATATGGTACTATACTCAGAGCTTGTAAAAATTATTTGTTGGGGTTAAAACCAATAGATTTCCATAGTCAGCACAGACACTCAGGGCTGGTAGGTAGGGAAATACCATATCTCCCCTTTCCATGGAAAGTTTGTATCCAGTTGGCAGTCCCATCTCGAGGAGATGCACATGAGTGTTGTTGACTCCTCATCCAGCAACTGATTTAATGGGGTTACTCTAGCTGAGACCTGGTACAGTAACCGGATTTATGCACCTTAACATATCAAGGTGAAAAGGATTAGGCTCTGCTGCTCTTCACTGTTCTAGTTTTCTACTCACAGGGAGTTATTTTTTACAGAAGTAAAACACAGTGTGTGTCCCCTCTTCCACAGTGTTGCTCCATTCCATCTTTAATTGTGAACTCTGACTGTGAATGCTGAGAGGAATGGAGTCCAAATTATCAGTGAAAAACAACTGGTAGGTATCAGCGTGTTCAGGGGAGCCAAAAAGTTTACAGATGTAGAAGCTGTTTCTTTAAACATACACACACACAAAACAGGTTTATCATATTCTCCCCTCTCTGAAAATGCAAAAGAAAATAGTCCTTTGAGAGCAAATTATTCTTGTTGGCTGCAAACTGGTATGTATTATTTGGAACAGAAATGTGGGAAAACAAGACCTGGGATGTGTGCCGGGGGGGGGGAGCAGAATTCTCCACTTGGGCTGGGGGAGCTGAAATCCTGTAGCAGTCCTGCTATGATATTTTAGTCCAAGTCCCACTCCTCTCATTCTGAAGCACATATGTGTCTCCTGCAAGCTTAAGCCCTAGTTATGCCTTTCCTGGAGGACATTCTTGGTTCCCTTTAGAACAGGGAAGGGAATCTGCTATCACCACCAGTCATTAGAGTCCCCGATCCAGCCAAGATGGGTGGGTCTCCCCAACTGTCCTACACATTCAGAAGAGATACAGGGCATGAGTGACATACAGACTGGCGAGAGATCTCCATAGCTTAGCTGGCAATGGCATGCCCCTTGTTGTCAGCCAGCCCGTAAGAGACTAGAGAGATGAGGTTTTGAGTTATCACCTCAAAAAGGTTCTCCACCTCTGTTTCAGAGGTAACCACTTACTGACCTACCTCATGAATGAATGGGCATCGGGAGGGGAAGGAGGCACTTCTGTATCATCCAGGTACTGCTGACTTTGCCCATAGGCATAGAAACGAGGGGAGAGCATTGGGTCACTATCTTCATCCAAAAGCTGGCGAATAAGGCGGCCAGCCTGAGGGGAGAGGTGAGCTTCGTCCGAATCTAAGTCATCGCGCTGCCAGGAGGAAAAGGCCGGGATAGGCTCTGGAAATCAAGTGGGAGAGAACTCTGAGTAAGAATCTGGTAACCACCTTTTAATATTTCACAATTGTTTTATGAGACGTGTAATGAATATAAGAAATATGTACCAGTATGTCTGTTTACTCATATTTATTCACTATATTTAACAATAAGCTTTTTATCATATGTATCAGCAAGCCTTATTCATATTCACTATAGGTCTCATAAAACTGATTCTCCAGATGTTGGACAACAGTTAAAAACAGAATAATAAAACAACAGAAACTGCAGCAGACCAATGAAACATACCACAGTATAAAAACTGAACAAAGCCATAGTATTCACGAAGAATTTCACGGACGGGACCTAATGATTGTTGTGGGTTTTTCAGGCTCTTTGGCTGTGTTCTGAAGGTTGTTCTTTCTGATGTTTCGCCAGTCTCTGTGGTCGGCAGTTCCTATTGGACTGGGCCCACAACAGCCCCCCGGCCACAGAGACTGGCGAAACATTAGGAAGAACAAACTTCGGAACACGGCCAAAGAGCCCGAAAAACCCACAACAACCAAAGACATAGTAACTGAAACAATGCTAAAAGGAACTATTAAGAGCTAAGCACACCCTGCAGGGTGATTTAAAATAGTTAAAACATTTTTATTGCTCAGAAGATTGAAGTCTAAGCTGCGCAGAACTTTGGAAGTAAAAAACAAAAGAAAAAGAAAAAACACAACTTCAAATTGGTCCTGGATACACATGGAAAGATACTGAAAGGGAGTATGGACTGATGTGTTACGATCATAACATTTGATCCCTGTCAAAACTCTCACAGCTTTATTTTGCATGAAATGACATTTCCAAACTCTCTCTTATGTTCAATGCATTACAGCAGGCCAACAGGTTTAATTTACTGGCATCAAAATGGAATGTTTTCCCACAACTCTACATCAGTGTGGGTCAGTCCTTAGGGCAGGGGGGGCATTTTGTTATTATTAGGACTCTCTGGGGTGTGTGTGTGTGCAACTCCTTGATAGGAATATGTCTGGAATCTGTGATCATTAGTAAGTCATTAATCAGATGTTTGTAGATCAGTGGCAAAGCTACTCTACACACAGAAGGTGCAGATTCAACCCAAATTATCTCCAAGGGTTAATTAGGAAAGACTCCTACCTTACACTCTGGAGACCTGCTGCTGATCTGTATAAACAATATTGGGTGAAATGCAGGGCTCCTAAATGTGTGCCTCCAGATGGTCTTCTGAACCACGGCTTTTTAGAGTTGCAGTCCAAGAACATTGGATATACCACATTTGGGAACCAATGGATCAGGAGCATGACTCAGTATAAGGTTGCTAATAATGATCATTATCATCTTAGAAGCATAGAGCTGAAAGGGAACCCTATGAATCTTTGAGCCCAGCCCGTAAGGGAGGCACAGTGGAAAATCAAACTCCCACAGCCAGGTAACAAAAAAACCAAAGTATCCAACCTATCACATTCCTGTGCTGATACACCAGGCACAGTTTCCATGGTTCTAGAGCAATCATCAGACCATTTTTACCCTGCCTCTCCAAAAGTACACATTGGTTTATACTCCTCGTAGTCCTAAGATGGCTTTAAGCCATGAATTTCAAACACAATTTCATTAAAACAACTCCAGCATGATGCAGTTTGTAAAGTCATTTTGCATCCCAGCTCTGGGGGGGGTATGGAATATAAATTAAATAAAGTAAAGTAACTTACTTCAGCAACAGCAGTGACCTGCAAGGGCGCTACAAATACCTCAAGGTTGTCTGATGTAATTGCTGATCTGAATCTCTCTGACAACATCAAGCAATTTCATCATGCCCAGGGCCTTCCCACAGCCAATTCAATGGCCTCTGCCTGCAAGGATGGGGAACCCTCAAAGGACACACACTTTTATTAGACAGACAAGAGATGTGTGGGATGGTGGCAGCTGCAGATTCACCGTCTAGATGGATTTCATTGATACCAGAAGAACCAGAGATCAGAAAAGTCCACCATTTTGGGCTATCACTCCTAGCAGTTCCATTGTAATTCAGAAAGAACAATGTCAAATATTTGAAAGATGATAATTTACAGGCTTGGGATAACTGCTGAGAATAACTTTTGCTAAATTGCACAGCTCTCAAGTAGCATGCTTTGACTTTCCCCAGGTGATAAATGTCATGCAATATGTACGCCTTTATGAAACCCACCAAATGCTAGCGTTAAGTTTCTATCTGATTTCTTTCCCCCATTACTGGATATGATTTTGGTTTTTAACAAAAGCTTAAACACGTTCAACAAAGCAGAGAAGATTATCATGCTCAAATATTGCAAAATAAACAGCAAGATGGCAAAGTGGGTATAACATTTACTTTTCTTCCTCTGACAACCCAGTTTGTTTCATGTCCAAAATTTAAAATCCATTTGCTTCTGAAGAGCAAAGATTAGTGTCCTCAGTTGGCTTGATAGGTTTTATGCATACCATTATAGTAGCTGCCAAAACTACTGTCCTCTTGAGATAAGACAGCACATTAAGAGAACTAATCAATTGACAAAATGCCCCATGGGAATATATTCCAGCTTTTTCACATGTAAGAAAATTATGATGGATCTTTTCAAACTCGGTTCAGGCCATTTTATAATGCAGAATTGTCAAATCTTCTCAACCCGAAAGCTTCTTCTGAAGTTGAGCATCTAATCTGAAATGCTGCAATGCTTACTTCTCTCATCTTGTTTGTTTGTTCTGTTGAGCACACATGGCGACTGCCTTCCTCGCTTATTACAGAATACTACTGCAAATGTATTAAACCAAATTAACATAAAATTAAAAAAACTTAAGAGAAAAAAAAGCTACATGTTCAATTATCTTATATACTGGAACATGTCTGAGAATCTGCAGACATGGTTCTCATCTGAGAATCCGCAAGACTCTTACAAAGTATGTGTCACACAGTACGATGCTGGTGCAATACCTATTCTGAGATTTGCTGTACCAAGGGAATGTCAATGACAGACTGGGCAAAGGCATGTACACTGGTGGGCTTAGTATGCTTTAATCAGGTTCTACGACAGCACAGAAGAAGCCATTCTTCAGATGCTACACCAACACAGCAATATCGGGCATAGCCAGAGTCTAGGGAAGTTCCTTTCTTGGATTGTAATTCTCAGATTCCCCCAGCTTTTCCAAGCTTTGTGTATTTTTATACATCTCTAGGCTCAGTGCCTGGATAGTCCAGATAAGAAATATATCGAGCATCAGACCTGGAAAAGAACATTAGACAAGGGAGCCTTAAAGAAGTGAAGCAACCGGTATTTGACAGGGCTCAGTACCAGACGCCTCCATGTAACAACTGTCTGGAGTCTACAGTGCTACAGCAAATGTCCCTAAGCTTCTTCTGACTAGATCAAAGCTCAGGACCCAGTGTCAATTCTCCTGTTGACCCACAGACAGAAACCTTTTGCCTGACTAACGGCTTACTTGTGTCTTCCCAGAATACTTTGCTGCATCTTCCCTTGTTGCCATTGTGACATCACCAAATCTTATACCACCCATGGATCTGAAACCAAGCTTCTGTTACTTTGAATCACAAGCACTCACCATCACCAGTATGCCTATCCCTAAGAGCTTGAAAAAGTTACTTTTACATATTGTAATCCACCCTATCCTAGCTAGGATGGCATCTGGGAATTTTAGTCCATAAATGTAAATTTCTGAGGCTTTCAGAAGGATTATCTTGCCAGAGTAATTTCATTTTATGCTACATTGCCTCTGGGAAGCTGAGGTTGCTTACCCTTTCCGGTAAATTGCAAGTTATAAATATTCAATCACACTTTCACAGAGAAGATACCAAAAGCTCGTATCTTGGACTATTGCTCCAAAGACCAAAAGGAATTCAAATCCGCTGGTTGGCTTAATTGGTCAAAGTCAAAGTGATATTTTAGGGAAGCTGAGGAAAAGTGTGGGAAGCCAAGGTGACTAGCATATTGGAAAACATTAAAAGGAATAGTTTTATCTTGTGACTCATTTCTACCAGCTCCCAAAAGAATTTTGATATCCCTTTTGCATCTGGATAGTTTACTAAGCTGGTTTGCATGCTCCTACTTAGCTCCACAGGATTAGACAGTTTAAGATTTGTAGCTTTGGACTTTTAATTCTAAAAAAGTAATTCTGGAGTCAAAACAACAACAAATGGCCCCAAAAGGTAGAACTTTTGGGGAAAGCAGCATTGTGCAAAAGACTCATAAAGAGCTTTAAGATAATGCTTTTCCTGCTTAGGAAAAAGTGCTTAGATCTGATCTTGCTCTAGACAGTCACTGTGTCTTTAGATTCCTGAAAACCAATACTTAATTCATTGCTAAAACTTTGCTGTAATGTTGTCAGGATTAACATTTCAACACGCAGAGCGCTGTCCCCATGCTCCTTTGGAAACAGCATTCAAGCTTCCAAAACATCACCAATAGCAGATGTTGGTTGGCAAGTGAAGGCCCAAGACTGCTTTGAGCTCTCAGCTTCCATTACGATTCTCCAGGGTTGACTCAAAGCAGAGAAAATTGACAGGGACAACGCAAGGCAAAAATGACTGCTTCTGAAACTCCCTCACTCCTAATGGTAATCTGAAGTGGATACAGTGGGGTCTTGACTTAAGAACGGCTTGAGTTAAGAACATTTTGACTTAAGAACCACTCTCATAGGAAAATACTGTATTGACTTGACTTAAGTACTTAGATTTGAGTTAAGAACTGAAAAAAAAACACGTGGGAGGCAGGGAAAGTGCAAAATTTGAATTTTCAGTTAACTGTTGGCCAGTGAAAAGGGTGCCTGTCTGCTTCCTCACTCCTCCCAGCGTTTAGAGAGTGGATTGGGAGACAGTCTTCGGACTGCCTGGACTGTATTTTCCCTGCCTTCCCTGAACCTTTCTTGACCTAAGAAAAAAAGAAACAAAATATCCCCCCTCTAGTGGTCGAAGGCAGAATAGCAGCTTCCCATTAGTTTCTATGGACGGAAAAGAGCAGATACGGATCAAATGGTTTTCAATGCATTCCTATGGGAAATGCAGATTTGACCTGAGAATTTTTTGACTTGAGAACCGCCTTCCAATACGGATTAAGTTCTCAAGTCAAGACCCCACTGTATCTGATTATGTCTCATTTTAAAATGTTTTGATTACATTTATTTATTTATTTATTTATTTATTTATTTATTTATTTATTTATTTATTTACTTACTTACTTACTTACTTACTTACTTAAGAATATTTATGGGCCTTGTGTTACAGCAAAGTTGCCCCTCCCTTCTAAATTGCACGTAGTATAATTTAAGATTTGTCATTAAATACTGCTGAATAAATATGTGTCATCAAGTTGACCTATGACAACATTCCTGGGTTTTCTAGGCATAAAGTACTAAGACATGGCTTTATCAGCCCTTTCTTCTTGTGGATCTCTGGGACTGGGCAGGGCATGTAACTCCATCAGACACACATGCCCCATGTGAAGTCAGCTGTCGTACCCTCTCCCAGAAATCATAATGGGGGAACATATTCCTGACACTGCAAAAACTGCTCCAACTCACTGAGCTACACTAACTCTTGGTGTATGGAATAACAGACTTAAAACACAAATAACTTTGAGCTGCATTTTTCCATCACAAATAGCTCAGATATCTATCAAACTGCAAGACTGTAATACTGGGCACATGCAAGAATTCACAGACAGCAATATATCTTTTTTTAAAAAAAATCTATCTCCATAGTTTTCTTTCCTACTCCAGTTGCAAGCTTCCCTTCCCTGTTGCTCCCACAAAATAATGTTTGTGCCTGAAAGATTCATTATAGCCCAGTCTCATGTGAGGAAGACAAGAGAAAAGGTGGGAGCAGCATTCAGGAAAAAGAAATACACAAAGAAATGGAATAATACATAGTAGTTTGCTGGGAAGGAAATGGGAATCTCACATGAACTGCATCAAAGGAAAGCAAGAATTTGGTCTTCATTAACCATTTTTAGAAGTACTCTGCAGCAAGGGTGTGGAAACTCTGAGAGAGGAGAACTAGAGCAGTGGTCCCCAACCGTGGGCCTCCAGATGTTCTTGGACTACAACTTCCAGAAGCCTTCGCTATCTCCGCTACTGACCAGGATTTTTGGGAGTTGAAGTCCAAGAACATCTGGAGGCCCAAGGTTGGGGACCACTGAACTAGAGGCTTTAAGGAGCAAAGTGCCGTTATGTCAATTCTGACTTATAATAACTCTTTTCAGAGTTGCTAGATAGCATTCAGAAGTGGTTTACCATCCCTTTCTTCTGGGGGCATCCTGGGACTGTGCAGCTTTCCCAAGGCCACACAGGCTGGTTCTTCTCCCTGGAGGCACAGCGGGGAATTTAACTCTCAACCTCAGGTTCCACAGCCCGATACCTAAACCACTGAGTTATAGCAACCCTTCCCACTCCACCACAAAAAAAGACCCCAAAATGGAAGGGAGGAAGAATCTGTTAGCTGCAAAAATATGGGCAACGTGATTCTGACCTCTGCTCCACAAAGTAGAGGACATCATTCCCAAGGTGAGACTCTTGCAGCTTTAAAGAAGGTTTAGACAAACGCAAAAGAATCTGAACCCACAGAAAATTAATTCTAGCTAATAAAAAAGTTGCATGCCATCTTTGAACTGCAGCTCTATCAGAGTAATTTACAAGATGAAATTTCAACAAGTATAAAATGACATGGAACATTTTATATAAACACCAAGTGTACAAAATGAAGCTTGTTAAATTAAGATGTAGATCCTGTTGCTGCCTCCCCTGACTCCATGGTTTGGGATGATGAAGTCTCAGAATTCGTCACTGCATGCCCAAGGCAGCATGATGGCCAAACCACTAAGGATCCTCCCAACAAATCATCCACAGTTTGGGCGGGAAGACTAGGGATTCCTTAACCATTGCTAAATAAGTGGAGGGGCTCTAAGCAGCATTCAAGACGGCACAGGAAAGCCAAGACCAGCAACCTGCCAGCTTCAACTTCTGAATAAGCCAGCAAGCCCATAGATAAATTCTACTTAGAATTTATCTCCCCTGGATTTGGGAACTTCCTGCCTTAAAATATGGCACATGCCCTCGGTCCCAAACTTAGAAACAGCAGTTCTAAACACACACAACACAGTTTTATTACATATTTACTAAGAAATAGATAACATAGGATTTAGTACTATCATCCTCGAGTTAAGTCAGCATTAAGATGGCACCCTACAGTATATTAATTTTCAATTCTTGGTATTATATGCAGAGAAAAATACAGCCACTTCTGCCAAGAAACAGACTGAACCGCCTGCCACAGGTGGTGGACAGGGAGTGGTACAAATAGAGTTGGGGGTATTCGAATACTAATATACCCATGCGGCTGGAGTTAACGAGGGTCCGGTTCCGGGGGCTGGACCGTCCACTCACATGTCCGGAGGCAGCCTCGCTCATCCTTCCAATCAGTCTCGGAGCCCCAATCTCTTCCTGCTTGGCTGGCCACTCGGCACCCGTGCAGGGAGACTCGTCCTCCCTCCCCTTGCCTGGAGTGGCTAGCCGAGCAGGAAGACAGCGGGACTCTAGGAGGAACTGGGAGGATGAACAAGGCCGTTGTCGTTGGAAGTGTGAGTGGACGGTCCAGGCCTGGACCCTCATTAACTTTAGCTGCATGGGGATATTCGTATTTGTATATGAATACTCCCATCTCTAGCAGCAAACTTTCTGCGTTCCTCCCCCGTTAGAGGTGACCCTGCTTCCCTGCTGCTGAGAAAGCCAGAGCAGGAAAGTAGTTGCCTCACTCTACTTCACTTTGAGGTTCCTCCTACAACAGAGGCAGAGGGGGCGCAACTCTCTGCAGCTGCTCCAAAGTCTAATGCATCTCGAAGCCAGATTTCAGTTGAATATTAGGAAAAACTTCCTAACTGTTAGAGCAGTACAGCAATGGAACCAGTTACCTCAAGAGGTGGTGAGTGCTCCAACACTGGAGATATTCAAGAGAAATTTAGACAACCACCTGGCAGATATCCTGTGGTTTATATTTTTGCATTGAGCAGGGGGTTGGACTTGATGGCCTTACAGGCCCCTTCCAACTTCATGATTCTATGGGAAGTGCAAGATTGGTCAAGACTAAGATAAACTAAGAACACAGCCTGGAAAACTACAACTACACTACAACTCCCAGCATTCTTTAACCTGTATCGTTACTGGTTATGGTAGCTGGGGCATTATGTAGGTCTAAGACCCATAAACAACTTTTCAAAGGTTAGGGCAAGACTAATTTACTGGTTTGCTTCTTTCCCTCTCCAACAACCAACCACTGCCCCATCTTATCAGTGTTCTATAAAATGGAGAAGGAAATACTGAGGCTCTTTGACAGACAGCTGAATTCATAGGGTTGAGAGAAGAACTCTCATCTGGGTCACCTTTGAAAAGATAAAAATACAACTGTCCCCTTTTCAGGCATGGCTGATTAAAATATGAAGGGGATGGAAGGGAAGACTGATTGAAGGGCTCCTCTAAGGTGTACCGTAGATGAAAAAGAACAGGTCCTAGTCCTCATGCATTATCTGGCTGCAGAAAAAGAAGCTGTGTCACCTGATGCCTTCAGCCAAGAATACCCACAGCTGCTAGTATAGCATGTTTGGCTATTAGCCTTTGTATCTGACCCTGCTTTAAATCTGAACTGCTATATAAATAACAAAGTATAAATTAACATCGCCTCTGAAGGGCCTCTGTCTAGAAAGAATGAAATATTGTGCATTTTGCTTCAATCCCGAAGCAGCATGAGAAATTAAACCCCTTTGTCTGTGCTCCCAGATAGCCCAATCAGAAAATTAAACAACAAACTGGTCTTAATTGCAGCTGTTAACTGCAACAATGAAGATGGGCTCCAAACTCCCCAAAGAATCAAATTCGGGACTCTATTTGAGATCTCCAACTATACGGTTTCCAGATACACCATCTGCCTTTCAGTGCTACGACTGTGGTTTTCACTGCCACTTCATCCACAGAAAAAACTGAGGGGCAAAGTGACAAAAATAGCAATTTTGCTAAAAAGGTATTTACCACAGCTAGCAAAGATAAACAGGGGCCATTTGGGACTGTGGTTTTCTCACAAATAAACAAGGGAAAGTGTTTTGTCTGTCCCTCCCTTCTCCCCTCTCTCACTTTATGACAGCGGAAGCATGTGTGAGCCGAGACATATGAAAACCATTAAAAGTACTAATGCAAAACATCACTATCCTGCCAACTTGAAAAACAGCCACTCGAACATCTGAAACAATCAGTTTAAGATGTTGAAGGGAGATGGTGGAATACACCTCTAACAAAGTTAGGGTGGAATCCAGATAAGTCTGCAGGAAGCAGGAAACTAAGCAGGTTTTCTTCATTACTGGTACCTATTATCTGAGTTTGGAAAGAGAAAGGGAATTCTCCTGCAACTAGACAGATAATACTGCTGTGGGTTGTAACTCATTTCTACGGATTACCACACAGGAGTGCGAAAGCTGTAATCCCGTAGCACCTCAGAGATCAAGCATGTAAATAGGAGAAACAAAACATAATAAGTCTGTCTTTCATCAAATCATTATCCTGTACAAGCTATCCCAATACAGTTTCCATCAGTTTTTGCATCAAAATCATTTTCTGGCACTGAAGCTCATTCCTCAAAATGGAGTGTGGGGGAGGGGAACATGCACACACACACACACCCCCTTGTAGTAAAGAGTTATTTCATTCACAATCACAAGCAGTCCATCTACCGTACCTTCCCAGTTGTTGTTGTCATTGCACAAGGAGGTCAAGTCCAGTCGTGGCACTTCGGATACAAAGTTCTCTTCTTGCCCATCTGCATCCTGGCTTCTCTGTAATTTGGCTTCAGGAATGCTAGGAGGCTCCTGGATCTTCATGCTCAAATTCTGGAATGACCCCACAAAATGAGAAACGGACGCTGCTGCAGCAAACTGCAACGACCACAGCAAAAATATATATTACAATGTTCAAAATAAGGAGGGGGGAGAGTAAGCAGGTGCAAAAATCAAGGATGCACCTTTTTGTACAGATAAACACAAAATAACATGACCTTAATAGCCACACTCTTTGGTCTCCCCGGTTTCTTTCACCTGTAAAATCTTCTTTTGTAAAACCCAAAACTTTCTCCTTGGATAAAAGGTCCCAACCAGCAAGTCCGGAGGTTGCGTTTCACAAAAAAAAGCTAAGCAGTCGATACAGCGCCCAGTTACTGAATGAGCTGAAAAGGCAGGCAAGGCAAGGGAAAGGCTACGTCCTCCTTCGAAACAGAACTGAGTTTCAAGATAGTAAAATGTATGAAGACCAAAAGCACACCAGCCCTTGAAGTGCTGCTGTTGCTAAGGCTGCAGCAGCAACGACCGTCTTTCTTTTGCAGGAGACAACCACGCCAGTGACCCTCTCCCTAGAGGAAGCTGAGCTGCTTCAAGCAATGAATGGTACGCAAATGCTCTCCAGCAAGCTGATGCTGGCAGCCAGTCGGTGCTGTCGGAGATCAATTAGTGCCAGCTAAGCTGGGCGGGCTGCACGTCCCTCGGTTTCCTGTGGTTGTTTTCTGGCTGGGTGTCGGGGGAGAGCAACGCTATTTATGGAGGTTCTCTGGGATGTTAGAAGACACTCGTTGCGCAAACTCAAATCGTAGCAAGCTTTTGGCATTTAAACAACTGGAAGAGCTGGAGGGCCCCAGGAAATCGTCCAGCAACCAGGAACACTGCCCATCCCACCCAATCATAGCCACCTCCCCTCCCCTCCCACCCATACCTAAGCAAAGAGCTGCTATTGAGATGATCTATAATTTATGGCACAGAAAGGAGAAGAAGAAAAAATCAGCCACTCTTTGCTGTTTTAATGCTTCCCTGAAAGACATCTGAATTGATTGCCATCCCTACCTTTTTTGTTTTGTTTTGCATGCTTAAGCTATCTGGTTCTACTTTCCAAGGGCATCACACAGCTTTCTCTATCTGACTGCACAAGGAACAAAGCAGAGAGATTCAGTCTACAGGGAGCTACCAACGTACCTGCCAACACATCAGTTTTTTGTATGAAAAAAAAATAGCATTTACCTCTAATCTAGGGAGAAGTGAATGCAGGGAGGGGAGCAAGAGAAGCAGAAAAAGAGAGTGAAAGCACCCTCTCTAGGAATGGATGTAAAACACTGATGAAGAAGATACACAACAGGCTTTTTGTGCAAAAAATTGCCAGTCACCAAAAGTTAAATTAGGGAAAGCTTTCAAGGGTGTGTCTTTAGCACAATGGGAATCTATTTGTAAACATAGATGTCTGTTTCCTATTAGTGTAAAAAGATGTGAAAATATATTACCACTATTCTAGTCATTACTATTTGTTAGTCTAATGATGAGCAATTTTACTCTACTAGTCAACAAGAAAAAAATCTGAGAAGATGAAAACAAAACAGTTTTTTTTTTTAAAAAAAAAAAGGGAGATCACACTGCACAGGCCACACTGTAGGCTGGGGGGCGGGTGGGCGGCATGCAACCTCCTGAAAGTTGTTGGAATAGCTGCCATCAGCTGCAATCGACCCCAGTAATTAGCCAATGCAATGATGTAAGCTGCGATCTACTAATGCCTGAACCGCTTCTGACAAACACACTTACACTGACAACAGGATGCTAATGCGGGGGGAATAGTTTAATATTTATCTACAACCTGAGTTAAATGGGTAGAGTACCGATTGTGCCTCTAAAGAATTAGAAGTCTTTCTGGATGAAAAAGCACTAGGAAAGATCTCATGTCTTGCATCATCATCATCATCATCATGTGCTTTCAAGTCAATTCTGACTTATGGCAACCCTTTTCAGGGTTTCCTAGGTAGGCAGTACTCAAAAGTAGATAAGCATTTCCCTTCTTCTGGGGGCATCTTAGATCTATGCAGCTTACCCAAGGCCACATAGGCTAGCAATACTCCCAGGAAGCCCAGTGGGGAATCAAACTCCTAATCTTTCACTTTGCAGGCAGATATCTAAATCACTGAGCTATCCTTGAGGAATTAGACATAGGCTAGCTCTACTCCCAGGAAGCCCAGTGAGGAATCAAACTCCCAATCTTTCGCTTTGCAGGCAGATACCTAAATCACTGAGCTATCCTTGAGGAATTATCTTGCAAACTGTTATATAAAAAACAAAACAAAACAAGAACTAAAAGCCAAGTTATACAATCCTATGCTTGCAAATATCCCGTATATATTTGGTGCAGCTTCCACCCTACTAATATGCTTAGGGATTTCAACCTCAGTGTGAAATATGCGGCCCACTGAAAGGGAATCACTAAGGCTGCAGAAGTATTTATATTTCAAAAAAAGAAAAGAAAGAAAAAAAAGGACTAACCAAAAAGTCTCATAACTTTTCTAAACTCTTGAAGTTACACAAACCTAGCTAGATTATCAGAGCAATCTGGCAAGAAAAAAACTGCATGACAGTAAAACAATCATATCACTGTACGTGCAGAAAACTAGAATGGGGATATATCAGTATGGCTTGCTTTTGCCTGACCAATCAACGAGAGAGCAAGAGAGAGAGAGTGCAATGTTCAAAAGAGTCGTATTTTCTTGGCTGAATTCATTCTCAACAAGATTGATGAAGTAGACTATTATGTAATATTCTGTAAGATTGCTAAAACAAGTCCTGGCTCCACCTATAGGAGTTCATAAAACAGATCAGTTGGAAAAAGGAAAGAGAACAAATTTAGTTCTGCTCACAAAGTGAATTTGCAGATCAGGCTTTTATTACCTTGCTTCATACACTGAGTTTTACGCCTTCTAACTTACGTAACGCTCCCGCGTCTGTTTATTTTTTCTTTTGCCTTACTGTATTAAAAAAATATTCAAAGAGAAGGAAGGACAGAACAGCTGCACAATGTCTTTGGATATCTACTCGTAGGACCTATATCTCAGGAAGCATCCTGGAACACTTTCAGCCTGTATCTAAGCTTTATGCCTTAAAGGTGTGCTCACCCAAGGGGAGAAAGCTAATCCATGTGCTAACCAAGATTGGCCCACAGGGAACCACCGTCCTAGAGAGATGGGACTTAAGAGGGCAATGAGCCCCCAACGGCAAGCAGTTGGAGATGAACGCTGAGGCAAGGAGGCCTGGATTAGAAGTGAAGCAGGGGGAGAGATGTACTGCTCTAGAACAACTCATGGATGAGAAACAATCTGTGGTTCTGCTTCAATGAACTGCACTTTATCATCATTATATATTTTGCCCAGGGGTTACTTCTGTGCTGAAAGGCAGACTAGAAAAGAAACTGTGTCCACTGACTAATTAAATGAGGATGGTATTTTATTAGCACAGATAAAATAAGGACCTTTTAAATAACACGCAGGCATGCTTGAAGGAAATAGTTTGTGAATAAATGAGCATCTCATAATCAAAGCCTTAGTCTTTCGGCTCTTGATTGCACAACTTTTTATTTCTTTTTCTTTTTAGTTTAACATGTATCACATGTTTTTAAAGAAAAACTCTGTGGAGTCCTTTTTTCCCCCCGAAAGGAAAGTAAACACAGTCCCTCGGCTATTATGCCTTTAAACCACAGCAGTTCAAGTTGTTGGTTTTTTTAAACCTGCAACAGCCTGTCCCGTTCTCTCTGTCCTTCTGTGATAGAAGTACTTAAAGGCTAAAGTAATACTCTAAAATTTGTCACTGGGTGGAAATGAACATTCTTATCCACCTTCTCTATAAGACAAGCTGTACCAGAATCTTAATCTGCATTTGTGTTGTCACTTCACTGTAATTTAAGACTGACAATGTTCTTTTCAAAAGCAAAGCTACAAGATCAGCTTGAGAGCTGGTCTCTCCCCCTCTCTTTAACAGAACTTGAGGTAGAGCAAGTGAGAACATTTTCTTCAGCAACCAGATGTAAACAGAAACCAAACACTCATAAAGCAACAATCAACAAGCCATAACCTGCCATGAAACATCTTTAAAATGTAAATGTCTGTCTATTCCTTCAATAGCAGCTGTTAAATACACACACCTCATTAAAACATTTTTACAACATGGTAAACATTGGAGTATTTTGCCTCTGAGGCTGCTCAGTAGTTTGTTTTGGAATAAAAGCCGATCCCTATACATTCTCCAACAGTTTTAGTTACACTCGGTGGGCTATTTGCTCACTCATGCAGTTCGTAATGCAATGAATAATCCATAAAGCTTTCAGAAGAAGAATGGCGGCCGAGACCCAAGGGAGACGAAATGAATTCGTAGCTATGCGAAGCACAGAGAGAGAGAGAGAGCTGACTGTCTTTGCACATAGATTTTTATTGTTGCTTCAGATGCTGATGATGATCGGGCCTTGGAATACCTACTCTGACCGCCCCTTTCCAAACCTGGGAACAGCTACGTAAAGAAGGTGCTTGCCAGGAAAACCAAGGTCTCCCGTCGTTGGTAAATGATGACCTAGCTTTGGCAGAAAATAAGAGCACAAAGACACTCCTCAGAAGGCGGTATTCGAAGACAGATTCACAGAATGGCACATATGGGAAGCTGCATTTCCCACCCTTTTTCTAATGCAAAGAACATGGAGACATGAGTTATAATGGTGGCCCACCTATCACTAGAGTTTAAGGGGGGGAATCACTTTTTTTGGAGTACAACTTACAGAACCACCTCAATCCCCAGCACAACCAGTTTATGGATTTATTACAGCTATATTCTGCCTTTCCTTCTGTGAGCTCAAGACAGTGTGTATCGTTTTTCTTCTTCCCAATCTATCCTCACAACAACTGTATGAAACAAGTGAAGTCCAAAGTTACCCACTGGGTTTCATGGCTGCATGTGGGCCAAAACCCATACCTCCCAGGTCCCAATGCAAAACTCTAATAACTGACCACAGCTGCTTCTTCAACAGCTCTGCTTTCTGTGGGGAAAAGATG